TGAACAGGTTTTCAGCATTTTCTCAGTAATGAGAGGTGTTTATCAGCAGTTGTCTTACTAACTAAACACACACTTAAAGGCCTCCCTGCAGTTTTCCGCCAAAAGGGGTTTAACATTCGAAAGTGAATAATTTAGCATTGTAACGTTGTGAAAAATAAAATTATTATAATTATCTAATATACATTTACAATTGTATTACAATAGCATACTGTATATCTGTCTTCATTTTTGTAATAATTAGTACAATTATTAAATTATATAATTTAATTAAATTTTATATTAATTCTAAAATGTTATTATTATTATCACTTAAGTGGTCTCTTTGCTCTTTTAGTATGGATGTTTTCTACAACAGCATAAGACATTTGTGACCCTGGAGCACAAAACCAGTCAATTTTTCGAAATTGAGATTTATACATCATCTGAAAGCTGAATAAATAATCTTTCCATTGATGTATGGTTTGTTAGGATGGGACAATATTTGACCGAGATACAACTATTTGAAAATCTGGAATCTGAGGGTGCAAAAAATCGAAATATTGAGAAAATCATCTTTAAGGTTGCCCAAATGAAGTTCTTAGCAATGCATATTACTAATCAAAAATTAAGTTTTAATATATTTACGGTAGGAAATGTACAAAATATCTTCATGGAACATGATCTTTACTTAATATCCTAATGATTTTTGGCATAAAAGAAAAATCTATAATTTTGACCCATACAATGTATTGTTGGCTATTGCTACAAATATACCCCAGCGACTTAAGACTGCTTTTGTGCTCCAGGGTCACATTTTCTTATGAGATGTGAGAAATGCTTATCATATTGCAGTTCAAATTGTAATCACAATATATGCCAAAATAATCACAATATATTTTATCACCAAATTGTGCCCTATACTTTAAATAAATAATTAAAAAAATCAATTATATAATTATACATAATAAAACACTTGTTGTCATTTGACCATTAACCAACATCAGAGAACCATAAACATAAACTTTCATTACATATAAAAATAAGACATTTTTAATGGAAAGATGTATGTGGTTTGTGTAAATTAACATTCAAACATTTTATATAAAATATATCCTTAAAAGCTTTTATAGACTTAATATATATACAGTGGGTACGGAAAGTATTCAGACCCCCTTAAATTTTTCACTCTTTGTTATATTGCAGCCATTTGCTAAAATCATTTAAGTTAATTTTTTTTCCTCATTAATGTACACACAGCACCCCATATTGACAGAAAAACACAGAATCGTTGACATTTTTGCAGATTTATTAAAAAAGAAAAACTGA